CATCGGAACATGTTCGGAAGACCCAATATGACCGTGGACTTTTAATAAGGCCATTACCGGCAAATTTTTGATAAAACCATGTCGCACGACGGGTTTTGGTTCTTGTCGAGAATTGGTCACTTCCCCGGGGGCATCGAAATATGCCCGGGAGGGACTCAATAAAGCTATTACAGATCAAGTTTTGTAAACTCATTAATTTTGATATGTCATACGACGTTTCTTGGTTCTTGTTGAGAATTCGTCACTTCCCCGGGGGAACTGGAACATTTACGGGGGCACGGAAACATGCCCGAGAGGGCTAGTATGACCGTGGACTGTCAATAAGCCCTTTACCGGCCAAGTTTTTTTTTAGAACCATGAAGTTTGATACGTCGTACGACGGGTTTTGGTTCTTGTCTAGAATTGGCTACTTCCCCGGGGGCACCGAATCATGCCCGGGAGGGCTAGTATGACCGTTGACCGTTGGTAAATAAGACCATTACCGGTCAAGTTTTGTAAAATCATGAAGTTTGATATGTCACACGACTTTTCTTGGTTCTTGTTGAAAATTGGCTACTTCACCAGGGGGGACATGCCCAGAAGGGGTGACCGTGGACTAATAAGGCCATTACCGGTCAATTTTTGTAAAATCATTAAGTTTGATATGTCACACAGCGTGACACAACGTTTCTTGGTTCTTGTCAAGAATTTGTCATTTCCCCGGGGGCACCGGAACATGCCCTGGAGGGCTAATGTGATCGTGGACTGTCAATAACCGGTCAAGTTTTGTAAAATCGTGAAGTTTGATATGTCGCACGATGGATTTTGGTTCTTGTTGAGATTTGGCCATTTCCCGGGTGCACCGGAACTTTTCCGGGATGCCCAATGTGATCATGGACAATCGGTTTAGACGCTCATGGTCCAATTACATAATTTGAGTGAGAAAATATTATGTTCACCGTGTGTTTAATCATTACAGAACAGTAAAGTCGAATGCCGTCCTAGAGTGACCCCAACAGAAACCGGAATAACGCCGGAACCATGTGTTGATCCAAAATTTTACTGACGGATTTAAAAACTCTCGACAAAATGCAATTTGTTGTGCAGAAAGAAATTGAGAAATGATGTTTTTAGAGCTAATTCAATTTTGAAATTTATGCAAATTTAGACGTTAGGCACGTAAGGGATCGTTCATTAATTATGTCACACTTTTAGGAAGGAGGGAGAGGGGGTTTGGAAACTGTGACGAGCCTTAAAAAAAACAATTAAGGTCCATATAAAAATGTGACAAAGGGGGGGGGTTGAACATGGGCCAAATTTGCGTGACATAATTAATGGACCTTCCCTAAAGGTTAAGAAACATTTCCCTGGATATGAATGAACTTCTCTGAGATTCCCTGATATTCCAGGTAGTCGACACTCTGGTTATCATGGGATACGTTCAATTTTCGATTGGTTTACCAGAATCTAAATATCTTCTCAACTCCACGCCAAGCAGAGATTTCAAAATTGAATGTCCGTGGATGCCCCTAAGGAGAAGTCTTGTAACCACTTTTGTGAAATCTGCATACGTACATACGTTACTGAGGGAACTCAATAACAGCACTACGTAAATGCTCCAATTGTGTTTCACAGACAGGCCTATTCTGCGCGGCGTGTGAGGTGAGGTGACACGCTGTCACTTGATGACCATGACTCCGTGACTCTCAAATGGAGTCACCTCACCCGATGTGTAAATTGTCACTTCACCATCACTACACTGTCACCTCACCTCTCACGCCGCGCAGAATAGGCATGAGACTTTTGCACGAGTTCTCCTTCGAGTCTAATTTTGAATTATTTTACAAGGATTTCCAGTGTTGCATCCGAAAATTATGTACGATTCGAGAGTCTCTTAAGTACGATAATGAATTGATAGTAAGGAAACTGGTGCATCCATGCAAGGATGTCTCAACGATGGACTACATATTTCTTTCAAAGTCGGAATACCGAGCGATCTGAAGAGCTTGGCAATGATACCATCGATCTGGCCAAAAGAACGGCTAGAGTTTCTGAATGAGGAAAACAGCATATGGGAGCCATCACTGTCACATTAATTGTGGCTTAATTGTAAATGTTGCTTCATTGCTTTTGAAGAAGAATAGTTAACTGAGCAAATTTGCAATATTGTATTTTGAATAGAACAGATGGGGCACATTAATGCGCCTGTTCACGGCTATTTTACACCTAAATAAATATGAAAAATATCATCAAGACTTGAATTGCTGATCCTGGATTTAGAAACAATTGCAAGATCCCAGAAGAAAAAAAACAATATCGACAAAACAAATTTTTCAGAATATAAAAAAAAAAATTTAAAAAAATTCCAAATTTTGAAAAATATTTAAGATTTTGGACTTAATTCTAAGAAGACTCAAAGATTCCACTTTTCATATCCTGGAACTTCTAAAACTTTACATCTCTAAATTAAATACATTTTAAAGAACACAGTGGACGGGTTTCTGTCTGGAGGGGGAAAATACCCTCAAGCGAATAAATTCCCGTTAATTTAATCAAAAATCACGCTTTCCAATTCACACTGAACGAGTTAGGGAGAGTTGACTGTATATGGATGTTTGACCACGCATGGGATGGGTGGGTCCAAAAACTGTCCAAGTGGTCTACGGAAAGCCCCTTAACGGTCCCCAAAAGGGTCCCATTTGATGGTTGATGTATATTAGGTGAGGCCTCCCAATTAGTCAACAAAAGCACGGAATATCGTGCCGAAGACGGCGGACTCCAGTTCCGATCCGGGTAATGCATGAAAACGATAGAAAAAGAAGTGTACACTAAGTGAATAATTCTTCGATGCGCGAGGTAAGTCCAGCCATGCCCGTGGCCAAGAACGCGATTATCCGGTTCAAAGGGAATCAAACCATCTATGCAGAAGAAGCCCTGAGAGAACTGCATCCCGCCCCCAAGGGACTGCACTGACTGTGACTTGCCGCAAGCCGGAGGATTTGGACACTTCAAACTGGTTCTGCATAGGACGGGACTAGTTTATGTTGACCCCCATCAAGCGAACCGTCTTTGATTGGAACTAAAATGCAACAATAGCACGGATGCTCCCTGTGGATTCATTTGGACTAACTTGGTGAGATCGTATCTGATTTTAGCTATTTAAACTAAATTTACATGATTCTCTTAAATTTAACAAATTCTTAATGGAGTTTTCTCCACGCATCCCATTTTTGTGTCTTTGAAATCATCATTGAACGCCAAATGGATTGTCTGCACATGTTTCAGCATGTGATGGAACATTACTGTTAAATCATATATGTTAAAACATTATATTATATACATGGACAGCCTAAGAGAATCAAAGGACTTGTTGACTGGACGAGGGTTCGTGGATTTGCCAGTCTCTTGTCACGTGATTACAGATGGCCATCTGGTCGTTTTGTCTTCCAAAGGTCTTCAATGAAGCTGATTCACACTGCTGCAACAAACCATCAGGCAGAACTTTACAACCGGTAAAGTATCTGCAGAAATTGGTAATCCTTGCACTGATGGTGCGTTCCATTCACATCACATCACATCAATTCTTCGATGCGCGAGGTACTCACCACTATTTATATATATGTCCGAACATTTTTTAATAATTAAGTACACACATAGAACATGTACCCACTAAATTGAATTCACTTTTTCACAGATTAACTAGATAGAGGCTGTAACGAATCGACCATGTTCACACATACTTAGAAGCAACACAATGGAGAACAACTTAGAACAATCAAATACGAAACTAATCACCCATATTCTCGTTTGCCGACTTATCGTATTTTTCATACAGAAAATATTTATAATAATTGTGAAGATCAGAAATGCAAAATCATTTTAAATGTAACATCATAACCAATAATGGCATTCTACTACTACTATATACTTGATGCTGTAGGTAATTCACTGCTTACTTTTATCAATCTAACTTAAATTTGAGGTTCGTAAGTAATTTGCAAATGAATACTTCTCAAGTGTAAACGCTTATAGAAGTGTTGTAAAATGACCCTATAAATTACCGCAATTATGTGTGATGTTGTCAACACGTTGCGAACTGTCCATAAACCACGTTAACAGTTTGTAACTTTAGATGTGATTGTATGCTTAACTTATGAATGTATGTCTACGCAGGGGGAGAAGGATGGTCTAGTATCTTTCAAAAAACCGTCTTCGCAGTTTATGGATCGCCCTAGCGACATCGACCTAATTAGCGAATTCTATCAGCGACAAGCTAGTCAACCAATTGTGTCGCAAAAAATCTCAACAATTTATCATACCCTGTCCTTTATTATGAATGTAGATACCTCAATACTTGATGAACCGCGAAAAATCTTGAACGTTAACGAATCTTAAAAGCAGCTGTTTCGCGCCTCCAATAAAACCAAAAACAACCTTTTAAAATCAAGCATTTGCTCCGAAGAGCAATATCAAACGAAATAACTTAGAACCACTTTATCACAAAGATGGTCAACCATTTAAAACAATCAGAAAATAAGATACGAAAAAACTTGGCACTAATGCACCCGCCGCAGCAACATCAGCCAAAACAAACCACATCGCACACACCTTCCTCAGACGCGAACCCCCTCAAATGTCATTTCAAACTCTCTTTTCGCGTCGCGGAACGTCATCGCTTCTCGGAACACTCGCGCCGTGGCGCTGCACCGACACTCACTTTTGCAAAATCTTCTCACATTTCAACCCGTTTTCGTGTTCCACGACTCCCACCGTCTCACGGCTCACAACGAAAAAGAAAAAAAAAAAAGAAACTCTACGACGTCGTGCCGTTTCGCAACCGTTCCCCCCTGGACTACGTTGGCGCAAGTGGGACGGAAATAGTCTCTCACTCAGTCTCGCTCACCATCGACGACTGTTCGATGCAACGACGAATGAGAGTGACGACGGGATCTCGGTCGGGTCAGTGAGAGAGTGTGTGCGTTTGAAGGGAAAGAAAATTATTTCCATTTTTTTGCCAATACCTAGCCACCGATGGGTCCGATCCGGTCCGGGAGCGCAATGTTCCGACTCCTTAGGGGGTCCAGTAGCGATTAGTCCGGGTCCAGCGGGTGACTGTACGCGATAAATGACCGTTTTGGGGCGAGGAAAATCTCCACCATACACCAACCGAGTACCAAACGACACGGAGTTCCACTTGTTTTGAACCGTTCTCTTCCACTACTAGTTGACAACTGACAGACAGGCGACGACGACTTCGACTAGCAGCAGCAGACGTTTTCGCTGGTCCACTGCTGCTGCTGTGTGTTGGTTTTACGTGAGAGTGACAGAAGCGGGTAGCACACTAGGGGTTGTGAAGTCGCAAGATCGAAAAGGAGAGGTAGACGTTTCCTGGGCATGGTGTCTCGCTCTTGCCCATGGGATCCCTTATCGATTAAAGAGTTGGCTTGACTTGCCATCTTTCTTTGTTCTGGCGAAGGAACGGTGAGAATGTGCGTCATCGCGACGCTTTTCACCGAGTCAGGGCTGTGCGAATGATGATTGGGCGGTAAGATCGAACTGTCATTAGGGGTGGGTTGATTTTTAACATGATTTTTTTTAATTCCCGTAAAAACTAACCATAGAGGTACAACGAAATGTTTTGTAACGATACAATACAAATTATTTAATTGACAATAAATCTTATTGCCCACAACGATCAAATAACCATAGAATGTATTGTATCCACAATATAATCTATGGTAAATGGGGAAATCTACAATATAGAAAAAGGGGGTTGTTATGTATCTTAACCACGAAAAATGACTTTTCCACGAACAAACTTTTACCAGTAATTGTATTGTTGTTCTTTTGTTGAAAATTCTTACTATATTGGGGGTATCCAGTTTTCCATGCTCGGTAATGGCGGCCTGTTTGTATGCATAAATGTATCCTTCACTGTGCTACCTGGAGGTTCGGATTTTGACCCCTACCTTTCCCTCTCCCAGGAACAGAAGAAAATGAAACAACATACGCCCTGCAGTTAGTTTCAAAAAGCACAGTGAAGGATACAATTATTCATACAAACAGGCCGCTATTACAGAGCATGGAAAGCTGGATTATACATCTATTGTAATACCAATAATGTAGAACCCCGTAGTTTGAATCTAGGTTTGAATAGCTAAAATGTAAATTACACGGCGCTCATTTAGAATTTGTTTAGCTGGTATCCCTAAACAGGTGCGTAACGCCATTAGGCACCTGTGTTAGGTGTACCTGTTAAACAAATTCTAATGCCACGGATACACTTGTATGACAAACTATAAACATGAGCATTATTTGTTTAACGAACTAGCTGACCCGACGAACTTCGTCCCGCACAAAATTGCTTTATTTTTAATCCAATTTCGAGCATTCACGATTCCACCCTTAATAAAGTTGCATTCCGTAGACCCCCGGTAATCTGACCGAACTTAATATAAACACTTTTTAGTTTGAAACCCGCTCATCTGCACGCCGTGCAAACTAAAAATTGCTCTAACGTCATTTTAGCACATGGAAAGGATTAAAGCGAAACGGGACAATGCGAAATGGAACGCAAAATCACAACAAAACAGCAAATAAGGTTACCAGAAACTCGCATTTCTGCTGGTCATAGGGTTACTAGAAGTTCAAATAAAAAATAAACCCCGTTAATTTGCACGAGACGTCGATCAGATTAACGGGGGTTCACGGTACAACATTTTTTGCACTCAAAAGAGTGTCGAAAAGTAGAGCTTATCGGCATTGGGTGCTGAAAAGTAGTACTTGTCGACCCTGTTAGCTTGATAAAGTAGGCCATTATGTTATTCATAAGCGTGTCGAAAAGTAGCACTTTTCTGTAATGAGTGCCAAAAAAGAATAGAGCTAATATACTATAGAGGAAGATTAGCCCTGGCGTTCCCTTTTTTCCGATGTTGAATAATACCGGGTACAGAACTGTCAAACTGCATGGTTATTTCACGCTTTGACAGTTGTGTCCCTATTAGATGTAAGTAAAACGCTGTCCAGACTGAGCAGTTATAACATGTTATAACGGTTGTCAAATAATTGCAACACAGAAACCACCATCAAGATAGCGCTATAACATGTTATAACTCTGTAGTCTGAACGTACTATAAAAGATGTTTCGACAGCGACGGCTGCGCTTTTCTTCCTCTATAGTTTATTAGCTCTATTCAAAGAAGCTGTGAAATCATACCAAGATTTTAGGGGGAGAGAGGGGTTAACTTAAAAACTTAAGCTAATCACTCAAAAATACTTACAGAATTTGGGGGCAAGACAGCTTTTGATCATGAGTAAAATTTGAGTTAATTTTGAGCAACTCTGAGTAACTCGAGTTGCTCAACAAGCAATGCACGGTAACACAGCAACCGTGTTGCGTTTATTCCCCAACTGTAAAAGAAAGACGTTCAACGGTGATACATTTTCCTAAATTCTGCAGCTTCTCATTGTCGAAAAGTGAATCCTGATGAATGTGGGCGTCTAAGTGGAATAGCTGTATAAATAAAGAGAGCAAATGGTGGTTTACACTGGATAATTATCGATAAATAGATCCCATGACCTTCCTACTACTTCGTGCCAATCCTTTGTAAGCCGTTTTCATTCAAATCTAGTGCAGGCTGTTATGGGTCGACGTTGACCGATGCATTTGCAAATTTTAAAATATGATAAATTTGGTTAAATTGACCACAGTTTGAATATTCGAAAGGCATCAAAGTTACGACTAGTACTTTGAAATAGTATTCTCTTTTGTCTGAATGCCCAAGAATTAGTGCAGAACTTTGAGGCAGTAACCTCATAGTTCTGCACTAATACTTGCACAGCAAAAAAAAAATGTAATATCGAACAATGTAATTCAAGCTGATCTATGAAATAATGATGTAATAACAAAAAGCAGATACAATATTACATCAGTGGATGTAATTTTGTTCGCAAAATCGATGTACATCGTACATCTTTATATCACACAACCGATGGATTGACCTGGTTGCAGCGGTTTGGATGTAATATTCAACAAGTTTTTTTTTCTGTGTGTGCATTCAGAGAAGTATAGAAAAATAATCCATTTGGTTGGTGGTTGCCATGATTTTCAGAAAAAAATAACTACAAGCATTTCTAATTGCCACTAGGTTCGACCCGAGATCAATAGAAAGCAATCCATTGTGATCGTATAGCAATATTTAGAGATGAACTAGCCTAAGGCTAAAGATCTCTTAAATAAAGAATTAAAAAAAAAAAAAAAGTATAGCAATATTTAAAATTTTAAGTTTCCATAAAACCAAATTACCCCAATGGGTCTGGGTTCAATCCCAGCCGAGGTCAGTGGGATTTTTCTGAGGCATAAAAATCTCTGGTCACGTCTTCCGGAAGGGAAGTAAAGCCGTTGGTCCCGGCCCATGTGTGTTGTTGTGAATGGGTGCGATATCCTACGCAGGTGTGGAAGCTGCCTTCCTGCACATTCGGTTGCCGTCAATGGATGGCAATCGATGTCCGTCGGTGATTGGCACTAGATTGCGGAACAGAGACCGACGTTAAATAAAGGAAAAAAAAATAAATAAAACCAAATCAAGCTCCCATCCATCTTGAATTCTCAACTCATTCATTCCTATTTGAGATGATGAAATTTGCAATTGTAGATGTGCAGAACCTCTGATTTGCCAAGCACATGAAGGCCTCATAAATTACGTCTAGCTGGGTGATACGGATACATTTTTCATGTTAGGCAATCTTCGGATATGGCATTTTTTACCTTATTTCCCTTCAAAGCAAAATTCTTAGATTTCATGTTGTGAATGCATTCAAGTGATTCAATAAGGATTTGTATCAAGAATATAATAAAATAATTCTGATTCTCCTCCTCCTCTGACACATAATGTTTATTCACACTGTGGTTTGTATTGGTTGATGAACATACATAAGGCCAGACTACTTTGATCATTCTTGAGTAATTATGAGTTACTCAAATTTACTCGGAGCAAAAATATTTACTTTGAGTACAGCTGGCTTGCCCCTAGGATGGCCCCTTATCACACTTCGTAATTTCAAGATTCACGTGGGTTTATACATCTGTAATTTTCAGACATTGCTTGCTTCTTCAATTTCTATGTGAGTAGCAGTAGGTCAGTAGCAGTATGTCAGTAGCACACATGACATTTATGAGTCAAATGAATAGTATGTGTGGTTAAACATGGCTTTTATGTGTACACATATTAATTATGTGTCCGACACATAGATACCGTTTGTTGATTACATTGCAAAAATTCATTTGTTGGACACATAAAAACAATCTTTGAAATTTTGATCGTGCATTTACAAAAACCATAATATATTGACTTGTGAAATTGCGAAGCATAGTGCGAAAATGGACGCTGCAAGCAGGGCTCTACATTTTCAAAACTCTAAAATGACCTCGAGTATTGTTTCTTTCATTCAACTTGTTCATCGTTGTAACTCTAAGACCAGCAGGTCCCGAAGAAACGTGCTCAACTTTTTGGCTCAGCTCTGGTACTCTCTTCGGTCCCAAGCTAATCGATGCACCCCTCGAAACATAGGAAAATCCAAGAACCCCTAATTTTATCTGTCAAACTTTCATAGCGAATCAAAACAAACATAGTGTAGTACTAGAATTTTGACTAGAATGGGATACGTTAATCGATTTGCTTGGGACCAATCAAGTAGTCAAGTAGTGAGCCAATTTAAAATCGTTAGTTTCGTATTGATTGTTGGTCTTTCTTAATGTAGCGCAGTTTAGCACCAAACGGAATGTTATTATTACTGATGGCTTCCAAATTTATTTACCTTTCCGTATGTACCGTAAGATTTGATAAAGAGAAACCAATCGTTGAGATATTGTCAAAAGTCTAACATCGCCAAACCCGGCCTACGGATTCTTAACTCGGCCTAACGCATTGAAACGCCATTGAAACGCACATGAATAATTCACTTCGGCCTGTCGGATGAACATAAAAGTTGATTCGGTCGGAGCGCTTCTTTTGTTTTTGGGAATAATGGGTGCAAACGCGTTATCATTGGCTTTGTTCCGTAGCTAATTAACTAAAGTATCGTACCAAATGCATAATTGACTTGTTAACTCTGAAATCATGGATTTATTTTGAGTTTTCTGCTCGATAGGCCCAAAATGGGCGATTAGGCCGAAGTAGTTCTCTACCCTATTTCTAGAACTTTTCCCTTAATACGACCCATCAAGAGGTGCACAACGGTCTCGTTCAAT